CAGTACACTCATCAACCATAAAAAAACAAACATCAACAATATTGAATTGTGTCTTTTAGATTAGTTTTTTGTTTTTTTTTTTTCCTTTTAACTTCACCTGCAGCTGAAACACGGGGTTCGAGGATTGGGGATTGCATTTTTAATATTTAAATAGAAGGTGGGTAGGTGGAATTTTGTATAACTTCACCAATCACCAGCAATAGCAATTGGCATAAAGGAAGAAGAGCTGAAGAAAGGTTTCTACCAGTCTAGCACTTACCAGCGGCCAACGGAGAGGGTGGGGGACTTTTGTTTTGCTTTTGCAGCAGTGGCATCCGTAGAATGATATTTAGGGGTTTTTGATTGCAGGCAGCGATTTTGCATCAGCGGAAGACGCAGGTCGCGAGCAGTGGCGGGTGATGGACTGACGGCGATGGTGATGATTGAATGGTGGCAAGGAAGCGGCGGAGGGGCTGAGCGAGAGCTCTCAAGGACGAGCTTCTATTTCTATCTGAGATTTAAATTGGGCCCATTTTGATTTATTTTTAAGCCACCAAATAATATTGGGCCATCAAATAAAAAAAATACTAACACTGGGCAAATTTTTAAATACACTAGCCCAAATATCCAAAATTTCAAAATTATTAAGTGGTATATTGGCTCTGGGCCCATAAGAGGGTTGGACCACGACCCATGCCCCCCCCCCCCCCCCGATCCGCCGATGCTCGATGTGGACAGGCTGTATTTACCTAAGAAATTGGGAGATGGTGGGATGGTGGTAAGTTTCTGAGATAGTAGGCATTGTGGGATAGTGAAGGTGAAGGTGCTGGTGAGGAGACACTGCTAGTACCATATTGCATCATGTACCTTAGTTTGTTCATCTCCTCATGTGTAAATCCAACACAATCTTAGAGGAACTTATTGGACTTCCACTTGGGGTTTCATTAGAACTGTTGTAGCTCTTGTCAGTAGTGGAATCATTAGAACTCGCTTGTGAAACTGATCCTGCAAAGCCACTCACGTCGCCTTGTGTTCCTACAGACGTATTTCCACTTTGCATTTCTCTTTTCTTCTTGGCCCTCCAGCACTGGTCCGCGTTATGATTTGTTCTCTTGCAAAAGATGCAGAATTCTTTCCTTGTCCTTGCCCTCTTGGCATTTCCTCTTGCTCTGTTTCAACAGCCAATGCCACGCTTTGACTTCTCTTTCCACTTCCATGGGACTTAGCCTTCAACTTCTGCTCATACTGGAGCAGATCATCCACTGCTTCAGAAACAGTTGGCAATGGTTTTTTAGAAAGCAATTGACTCTTGATTATCTCATAATATGGAAGCCTAATGCTATACGTATCTCACGTGGAGTGAGATTCCCTGGTGCATAGTTACAGGGGACTTTAGGACTAAACAACATGAATTCTTCTCACAGTCCCTTAATGTCGTTGTGATACAGGTTGATAGTACGATTTCCCTGCTTACACTTCTGAATGTCATCCTCCATATTAGTAATACGTATATCATTAGGCTTCCCATATCGTCTGTTTAACTCATCCCATAAGCAGTGGCGGACCCAGAAATTTTACATAGGGGTGCCCTCTTTTAAAAATAAATTAAATAAATAAATAATAAATAATTCTTAAATAAGAAAACACCTTACTCATACAACTTAAAAAAATCAACGATGTGTTTTCATATTCGGAAATAATTGTAGAATACACTTGGTGTCTAGATCGGCCAATTGTTCCCGAATAGCACCGGCTCCAATAGAAATTTCTCGATTTCGAAATGTATCGAAGACCTGGGTAGTAAAAAAAAGCGGAATAGTGCTCAAAAAAATTGTCTCTATCATACTAGACAATCATTCACGAATTGATCACATATTCGATTTCTAAACTTGTTCATAATGTAATCCAAAGTTGAAAAGACTCTTTCAACACTTGTCGTACAACCATAAAATAAATATAAATTAAGGGTAGCTTGAAATTTATTTAATTGTTAAGTTTTGAAAATAATTAGAAATAGGGAAGGACATTTTACTATTACACAGTGTTTAAATCGAACAACATATGGGTTGTAGCCTAGTGGAAATTATGTTTATTAATAATATTAGTGTCCTATGTTGAATTGCCCAAACTACCACTTATATTCTCATACGCAAACTAAAAGATAAGAGTAGGATAATCATTTTTTCAAATTTTAAGGGTGTCCCCGATTATCAATTATAATTTTTTTTGTCCATTCGTAAATTTCCATCGGGGGTTGTATAATCATTTTCCCAAAATTTAGGGGTGTCCGGGGACACCCCTAAACACACGTGGGTCATCCACTGCCCATAAGACTTTGGCACTAACATGATACATAACAGAACGTTTAAGATCTTTGTGCAGAGAATTTAAAATCCATGAAAGAACAGCTGTATTGCAACCATCCCAGAGCAGAAAATTCTCATCATTCACTGGAGGCATTGGTATGCTTCCATCGATGAAGCCTAGCTTGTGCTTCATTTTCAGACCCATGATTACTGAACGACTCCACATAGTGTAATTTGTGCCATCAAACACTTATATTCCTATGGATTGATTCAGCCCCTCATTAGGGTTCAAGTAGAAAGGATTACTGAAGGTTATCACCTCATATCTGATGGTATTGTGTTGCTGTTGTTCGTCCTGCTGCTGCTCGGTGTAGGTGCCAAACTGGAAACCTCGAATAGCCTGATCTAGTTGCTCCTGACATCGCTGATCCAGTTGCAGTTTCTTTTCTTTGACTCGACTGCGGTGTGGTTGCCATTGTAACCCTAGATGCGTCGCCGCTCTGATACCAGATGGAGAAAATTTGCTAGGTTTAGAAGCAAACCCCTCAAAGCTCAGGGTTTCTCTCTTGGTAGTATATATATCATCGTTCATAATTTGATTTGTTGCTGGCAGACACTTGTCTGTTTCCCACTGGCCCTATTACAAATAAACACTGTTTAACAACGGCTCTTATGCCTAACACAGAAACGACACAGTTTCACTAGAATGTAGGAAACACTTAAAGCAAAACGACTTTGTTCTTCTTTCGTTCTTCTTCTCTTCATTTCATTCAGCACAACTGCAAATCCTTCTTCCATCAGGACTTCAAGGACTGCGGACAAATTAAGCTGATTGTTTGGTATTTTATGAATATATTAATTATTTGTCTTTTGTGGGTTATAAAAAAACTCCATTAAGCAGCACGAGAATAACGACCAGTGTAGTTAAAATCCCACAAAATCCCGCAGCACCCATACAGTCGTTGTTGCTCTGCCTCTCATTGCACCAACGGCTAGTGGCGGACCCAAAAATTTTACATAGGGGTGCCCTCTTTCAAAAAATAAAGTAAAATAAAAATTAATAATTAATAAAAATTATATTATTCTTAAATAGGAAAATACCCAACTCGTACAATTTTGAAAAAGTCAATGATGTATTTCATATTTTAAAAAAATTATAAAATACACTTGGTGTCTACACTGCTCAACAAATTTTTGTCTCGGTATATTCTACTTGACAATCATTCACGAACCGACGCATATTTGACTTCTAAATTTGTTCATGATGTAACTCAAAGCTGGAAAAAAAACACTTTGTACAACCATAAAATCAAAATAAATTAAGGGTAGCTTGTAATTAGATTAATTGGTAGGTTTTGAAAATATTTAAAGATATAGAATAGGGTTTTGCTATTACACAATGTTTAGAATATAACAACAAAAAAGTTGTAGGCTAATGGAAATTATTTTTGTTAGTAATAGTAGTCTCCCGGGTTTGAATTACCCAAACTACCACTTATATTCTCACACGCAAACTGCAAACGAGAGTAATATAATCGTTCTTTCAAATTTCAGTGTGCCTCGGACTATTAATCTTAATTTTTTTGTCTATACGTAAATTACCATCGGGGGTTGGATAATCGATCTTCCAAAATTTAGGGGTGTCCCGAGACACCCCTAAATGCCCCTGGGTCCGCCCCTGCCAACGGGTCAGGGTTCTCAATCGACATACATTAGTCAAGGTTATGATGGTTCACCCATGGGTGGTGCTTCCGATGATTCACCAATGTCGGGCATCGAGGACATGTGAGGCATTGAAGAAGTCCAACCTTTGTCTTATCTCGCCTTGAAGTACATGACAAACAAAAGGCAAAAAAAGAAAGGAAAGAGTGTTGTTGAGGCTTCAGATATCTACGATGTTGATTTGCTGGAGTTTGGAAATGACATGAAACAGAGGCAGAAGTCGAGGGCCGAGTATGAACGAAGAAGAGTGGAACTATAGGAAAGAAAATTGGCACACGGTGAAGATGAGATGGCATACATGAGGTAAGTGCGAGTACGTGAAGCGAAAAAGTGGGATGTTGAGAAGAGGGAGAGGGAAGCGACACTACTTCAACAAAACATGGTATTCTTGAAAAGTATCTGTCATAAATGACTCCATGAAAGAAGAAGTTTCGGAGAGCCAGACAAAACGACCTTTTAGGATACAATCAAAATTACCCCAACTCTACTCCAAACTATTCTTCTAACGTAAGTCATATGGTGGAGATGGAAGTGGGAAAGAGGCGTACTAACAACATCAGTTCGATTAGGGACATCTTATGTGTTTATTCTTTATTATTTTCCAGTATCGATCTTGTTATTTCAACTTTATCATTTGTGTGTGTTTATGTTTAAAAAAATGACCTATGTAATGTAAACCCATCTTAAATTAACCGCTATTGTCGGCAAAAAAATTAGTCTCGGAATCTGGCAAAAAACTTTCGCAAATTTTCTCTTCAAAAATGATAACGGAGTGAAAAGGATAGTATACAATCTCCATAAGTATTAATGCGAAAGAGATTAAAAAAAAGGGAGGTAAATTTGAGGAGAGTGGGTTTAGAGTAAAAAATGGAAGTGGGCGAAATTTATATGGATGGTTGGAGGTGGTCCTATTCTTATGGCCTAGTGAATGCTCTGCACATTGTCCTCAAAATCATGGATGAGTTTGTGGAGATTTGGCTTTAAGTGCAACCCTATAGTAGATATATGTTATTTAACATGGTGATGTATCAAAAGAGGAGGTGGGAATTCATGTCAACTAAATCACCGGAGTTCGACATGGTTGTCTCCCGGTTAGATATTCTCCCGGAGTCCCTCAAAATGTTGGTCCCTTGGCATAATCTCCTCTTCTCTGCAATACGACTCATTGGTCCATCCACATATACAGAACAAACCCTGCTATCATATTCAAAAGCAATAAATCCAGAAAGTTGATCTGCACACCAGATTGATAGCCCAATCATGAACAAATGATCTACTCAGTCTCATGCTCCCACTCACATGGCACTTTCCATATTGCACTCTTGATAAACATCAAACTAATTCCTAGAAAATATTACCTCAAATACATTCAACCCATAAGTTTAGGTTCGAATCTTGAGACCAACATAACTTACAACGAACAACCAAATGCATCAGTATTCACTAGAGAGGATCAATACAAGGGAATAGGGATTCAACATGTGAGTCACTTGACAACAGAAGTACAGAACTGAGTCTCACATGTTGTCACTGGAATGAAGTTGCAGACTACGGAACACCTGAAACATTCTTCTTGAAACCTACAAACACTCCATTCATAACACACCCGACAGAGCCACACTATAACGGGATGAAAAGGGGCATGTCCATTTTCCATACAGGATGTAGTTCCAACGAGATTAGCATGTCGAGGCAACTCACTTGCAGACATGGAAGGAGCAGATTTTAGAAACCATGAACACTTTCTGATTTCCCCACATAACCATATGCAACAAGAAGTTGCAATCTTACGATTGGAATCCTGTCCACTTTCTGAAATTACTAATATCGCTTCCTCTCGAGACCGCCATTCCAATCCCGCTCCTTCCTCCATTCCCAACTCCTCTGTAATACAACCTCCATTCACCATCAACATCCCCACCTTCCATTTGCACCAGACAAGGATATCCAACACCCTGATTATCCCAGCCATCTTCCTCCTCCCCACGTCTCAAAACCGCATCACCTTCGTCCACCCTTCTCCACTCTCTCAATCCATCGCTGGAAACTGCAATGCCAATGCTCCTCTTTCCATCACCATCAACGCCTTCATACGCCATCACGTAGTTCCCATCTTTCTTGTTCTTGATAACGCTAGCATTCACCGCACCGAGCTCATCAAACCCACCAACTTTGCCCCCTCCTAGTACCTTCCCCAGCTTCACCCATTTGATCCCATCCCTTGATCTTGCCATCCCAATACAGAATTGCTTGCTCTTCACATCAAATGAGTGGTAGTACATTCTAAGATCTCCACTCCCATGGAAGACAACTTGCGGCCCAGCAATGAACAGAGAATCCCATTCCCCATCAGAACCAACATCGAAAAGAGCTCCACTGTGATGATCACCTTCAATTCTAGCCCAATACCTTCCATCCTGACTTATTGCCAAACCTGGCAAAGACCTACTAAAAACCTCTCCTTTATCACCATCATCAGCCCCTAAATCAACCTTCTCAGAATTCAGACCAGTGTAGTAAAGCCAATACACAGCACTGGAAGCTTTAACTTTCGAACTTGACATCACAACCACTTCACCAGGCCTAATGCTGAGAGTATCAAACGACCACCAATCTTGACCAACATTCATTACCAAACCCACATCCGCAGCTGATCTAACCGGCCCAAACCCTCTCTCCCAGTGAATTCCATTGCTTGAAACTGCTAAACCTAGAGAATCAGAACCAGGGTTTTGACCGGAACTGCCATGGTACCACATATACCATCTCTCTTCATCATCGCTCAGGAACCTTTTCACCACAGGAGACCCAATATCCCTGCTGTCCCAAGAACCCGAGGGGCCCAAATCGAAGACCAAACCTCTAGATGAACAGGGCAATGAAAGAGAAGAAGACGAGGAAAGTGAATCGTCGTCACCTAACTTCGCCGTTGGTAGGTGTTCAGGATTTGGGGTTGAACCGGGTTCATCAGCGGAAGCGGAATTCTGTCCAATTTCACTGTTGGTGTTGATGTCTGGCTTTGTGGAGCAGCGAGTGAGAAGAGTGAGAACGTTGGTCTGCCTCCTTGGGATGGGATTGGAAGCATAGAGCGTGAGAATGCCCGGTTTGTTGAAAAGCCATGGTGTTGGGTTCTTTACGATGGCTGAGTGGTGGTGAGCTATGGAAGTTGTGCAATGGGTGTTCATTGTTCTTAACGTTTGAGCTGCTGGTGATGCTGCAGCCACCATTTCCATGGCTACCGAGAAGAGGACTAGTGAGTTGAGTTGTGAGGAGTCTGAAAGTTTGCGACTTTCCGGCGGGTAGTGTTTTCCAATCAGTTGGATGGTATTGGTTGAAAGGCCAGGTAATGAGATACCGACGCTTGGCTTTTGTGGAGTGCAGATATGGTTAGGGCTGGCAATGGGTGGGTTTGGGGCGGGTTTGTTTGAACCATCCTCATCTCATCTTCAAATACGCAAATCCATACCCGCCCCATACCCATGCGGGGAATGTTTTTCAAACTCATCCTCATACACGTGGGTTTCGGGTACCCATGGGTAATACCCATACTCGTACATCCAACATTATTATACCTAAAACTTACAAGAAAAGTTCTAATTATAACTCTAAATGAACATATTATATCATGAAGTCAACAAAACACGGTCATTTTTTTAATATGGTTCAAATATTATGATCCTAAAATATCCATTAATACATAATATAGAGTATAATATTTTTCAAATTATTATGTTCTACCTGTGATACATCTACTAAATAATAATTAACTAACATAATCTTGTTGACAAGGGGTAAAGTGAAAGAGTGAAATGAGAATTGAGAGAAATGAATTAGATTTTGATTAAGGTGGTCACTCAATTGCATTTCTACTATTTATTTTCTCAAGTTATCTTCATCATCATTGATAGATTATAATTTGATGCACATATTTTTTTATATATGAAGAAATTATCTTGATGGGACGGGTATGGGGATGGGTATGGGGCGGGAGAGGCTAAAACCATACCCGCCCCATACCCTATCAAAGCGGGGATTCCCCGCGTTGACTGGGTCGGGGGCGGTCGGATACCCGCGGCCATGAGTTTGATTGTCATCCCTAGATATGGTGACTAAGGGGGTGCTTAGTCACTTGGCTAAGCCCCTCCTAGATGTTGGATCTTTATTAATCAATCTAATGGTGGGAAATAAGACAGAAATAATTAAACAATGAGAAGGGCAATTTTGGGATTATGAAAAATTCATTTAGGTTTTTTTTCTCCCTCCAGACATCCTCTTCTGCGTCGCCATTGCAGGCCATAGGAGAGAGTGAGAAAAGCAGCAGCGAGGAGAGAAGGACGACGACGGTGGAAGAAAGGGGGCGAAGACGAGGAGATCTCAACGGCGCCGGCGACGATGGAAAGAGGGAAAGACGATCGCGATTTTTCCTCCAGCCACCCTCTTCTGCGTCGCCATTGCAGGCCATAGGAGAGAGAGAGAGAGAGAGAGAGAGAGAGAGAGAGAGAGAGAAAAGCAGCAGCGGGGAGAGAAGGACGGCGACGGTGGAAGAGAGGGGGCGATGGCGAAGAGACCTCAACGACGTCGGCGATGATGGAGAGAGAGAAAGACGATCGCGACGGAGGCGGTTGTAGAGAGAAAAAGTAGATCTGGCCGTCGTTGTCGGGAAAATAGAGGAGAGAGAGAGAGAGAGACGATGGTGGAGGATAGGGAGAGGTAGCGACGGCTGTAGAGAGAGTCGGCGGCGGCAGCGGTGGACTGTCATTGTATTTTGTCGTCTGAAGGAAGAACAATGGTTTGTAATGAAAGTGTTGTCAGTTTGTAACATTAGTACTTTTGTACATGATGTCAATATGATTTGTATAGTTTGTATGTTTTGTATTATTAATTTGTACATAAAAAACATTACAAACATTGTTAACAAAAATGACAAATATGTTGGACAAAGATAACAAAGCTTACAAACATTACAAAGGAACTCGACAAACATTACAAAATAACAAAGCTTACAAACATTACAAAACAATTCGACAAACATTACAAAACATACTAATAGTACAAAATGTCACTACTTATGATACAAATCAATAAACTTGTATTGCAAATCAATGAATAGAAAGTGTACAAATCATAACATAAAGTATACAAACTAGACAAACAAACATTACAAATTACAATATATACAAAATAGTCATATAAATATTACAAACTAGAATGATAAAACACAAAAACAAAATCGATACAAAACAGATTTACAAACATTACAAAATAGTCTCACAAACATCACAAAACTAGCGTTGCCGCCAAAAACCTCCATCGTCGGAAAATCTCTCTCTCTCTCTCTCTCTCTCTCTCTCTCTCTCTCTCTCTCTCTCTCTCTCTCTCTCTCTCTCTCTCTCTCTCTCTCTCCGGAAAGAAACTCCATGGGGAATGGGGAATATTATTTCCTAGGCCCCTTTGGGGAAACAACCGCCGCCTGGTGCCGGGAAACGACCGCCGCCTGGTACCCGGGAACAAATCGGCCGGAAATTGCAATCGACTGGCCGGCGGAAGTGACGGAAGAGACGCCGGAAAACTCCCGGTCGTGAAAAACACACAGCAGAATATATGATTTTTTTAATTATTTAATAATTAAAAATTAATAAACTCATGTAGTTACTATATTGTCCTTCTTTAAATTGAATTAATCTAAGCCATTAGATTTTAATGAGATTGAATGGCTGAGATTGGCTTAGTCATGTGACTAAGCGGACCCCCCTTAGTCACCTGATCTTAGCCCCTTTTTGTGGGGATGACGGATGAGGGAAAGGGTGAAAATTGGTCAGAATCAGTTCAACTGGACCTTTCAACTCAATTATATTTTAACAACTTCCCAGCCGACCACCGGATCAAAGTCTAATCCGCTTTTTAACTGAGGTCGGACTGTTTGTATATGGTCCAGTCCGACGAACACTATTAAAATTGGGAAGGGAAACAATTTTCTAGTTTTCTTTCTCATTTCTCAAGCTAGCACTCTCTCTGTCTCGTGTTCTTATCCACTCCATCTTGTACCTACAGACTACAATGGGGCGGGGTGGGATGTGGGGAGCACATACAGTCAGTAACATTGTGTTACATTTAGGGGTGGGCATTGAGTTCGTGTTCAACATTCCGACCCAAACCGAGACCGAATCGAACGAAATCAAAATTTTGCTTGTTCAGATCGGAAATCGGAACCCAAATACGCTTAATTCGAAATACAGGCTCTTCTGACTGAACCCGAAATTCCGAATTCAAACCGACAAAACCGAAAAATTAATAAACCGTCTGCCTTTAGCCCCCAACAACACCCAAATCCAATTCCATTCCCTCCCTTCCCTAACCCTAATCTGTTGTCGCTGCGTCTGCGACTCTCCCTTCCCCTGTCGACGAACGAGCAGAGGCACGGGCAGTCGGCAGTCAGCAATCCCTCGCGGTCGCGACGGCACGACACCCTCCGCCCTCCCCCACAGCTATCACTCCATCTATCATCGCCCGGAGCTTTACTGGCATCAGATCTAGTGGAAGCCTGAACGGAGGAAGGACCATCGCCGTCGTGAGCATCCCGCCTCTCTACCGCCGCTGCGTCGAGCTCTGCGTCGACTGATTTTGAAGGTCGACAGCCATAGCCCACATGCAAGCAGCGAGGGTCGAGGATTGAAATGGCCGCGATGGGAGAGGGAGACCAACGAGTGGAGGGAGGTCGACGACGACGGTGGTAGTTGATAGCGAGTTCGATGGCGGAGAGAGTTGGGCGACGACGGTGGTAGAAGATTGTGAGCTCGGCCTCGGCGGCGGAGGGAGTTGGGTGGTGACGAGGAAAGTGTGACCAGAGATGGAAGGGGAAAAGCTGATGGGGTGGGTGGGAGAGGGAGAGAGGGAGAGAGGAAGGGAAAATGAGAGAGATGGGGTGGGTGGGAGGAGGGATTTCTCCAATTTTCCACACAGTCCGCTACCAAAATATATTTCGGTTCGAATTCGGTTGGAGTATTGATAATTTCGTAAAATCGGCATATACTAGTTCGGTTTGGTTTGAACCAAACCGATCGAACGCCCACCCCTAGTTACTAGGGGTGTTCAAACGGATTGGTTACCGTGGTAACCATATTAACCGGTAGCATTCGGTTAATTAGATTTGGTTAATTTGGATAATTGGTTTGGTTCGGTTAAACAATTTTGCTTATTTGGTTTAAGTGGTTGGGTTTGGTTTCAACACGGCTAACCAATGAAACTAATTAACTAATTAATGATGCACGTAATATACAAATTATTTATACTTCCATGCAACCAACCAAACAAAACTTTCGTGATTCCCTATTTTATTTCCATGTGCACAAAAAACCAAAGCATTATGGGTCAAAAATTAAATGGGCATGCCTATTTACTAAACCAAAACAATTTGGACAGCTACTAGACTTTAGGATTGCGTACAGTATCATTACAGTCACCTCAAACTATGTATAGTTCAAGTGTTTTGTATGAGAGCTTTAACTTCTTGATGAGTGATATTGGTATCTATCTATCTATCTTTACATACATAATATTATGGTCATTCAAAATTAAATTTTTGTCACATAAGCACTTGGAGAGATCTCAAGTTGCCAAGGTGGACAATTTTAAAAAAAAATAGTTATTGGCCTATTTATGGAGTTGTCCCTCTCTCTTCATTTAATATTTAATTCTCTTTTAACAATAATTATTTTGCTTTTGTTTTTGCTTTATATCTATAAATAATATATGGAGAGAAATGTTATCAAACCGGTTTAGCAAGTGGAATGGTTTTACCAGTGGTATCTATCTATCTATACATAATATTATGGTCATTCAAAATTAAATTTTTGCCACATAAGCACTTGGAGAGATCTCAACTTGCCAACGTGGACAATTTTTTTACCAAAAAATAGTTATTGGCCTATTTATGGAGTTGTCCCTCTCTCTTCATTTAATATTTAATTCTCTTTTATCCAATAATTATTTTGCTTTTGTTTTTGCTTTATATCTATAAATAATATATGGAGAGAAATGTTATCAAACTGGTTTTGCAAGTGGAATGGTTTTACCAGTGGTACAACAGGCTTGTGTCGGTTCATGCCGGTTAATAAAATATGTAGAAATATAAAAAATCATTAATATCAAATGAATTTAATCATATATATAAACCATATTTGAAGAGAATTTACGTACAATTAATATTGATATTTGAATAATATATGATATTTCAACTAAAATTACATGTACTCATACTTAAATTCACTAAAACTACGCATTTTACTTAGAAATTGGTAAAACGATCATACCAGTCATACCGATGGTGTCATGTCGATTTCATGACCGGTACCGGCTGAATGGTTCAACCGGTGGCATGCCGACCGACGTGACAATCATGATGGAGAGTGAGTGAGTGACATATATCACATTTTGTTTTTGCATTATATCGATGTACGCAACAGTATACTAATGTATGTAAAGTGACATATATATCACACTTTTTAAACCAAAAAATATATATGATTAAAGATTACTATGTAAATTTATGCTCATTTTTTACTAAAACTTAATAATAATTTACATTTTAATGAATAATTTAAACAAACACACAAAAATAATAATATTTTGTCGATAAGGTCTAAAAGAAACTTGACCAAGAAATAATAGTTATTTATTCAAAAAGCTTCTTATTCATTCTGATCAAGTGAAAACATATGAATCGCATGTGCAGTATTTATAATGTATACTAAATTCACATTACTAATATTTTCTCTAGGTCATGTTGATTGAGCAAGCTCTATTGAGGTCTTACATGATATGCTAAGAAATTTTCTTTTCAAACTTGGAGTTATTTATTGTTAAAGATTATAAATTGAAGTTTCCAAAATGACTTGAGTATAATAGTTGATGAACTTTGACTTCATATTCTAGGATAAATTGAAGCAAACCCGTGATTCTAATTTCCAAATGCAGTTTGCTTCTTGCTTTTGTCCCTTCCCTGGACATCTCAGAAATAGGCTCAATATCATGTACCATACATAAGTTCATCTGTATAAACGAATCTGGCCTAAATGTCCTTCAATGTTCAGAGATGAATACTTAAAATCCAGAGCTTTTTGCTGTTCAATATGATCAGTCTCCGTCATAACGAATGAAGCCAAATCACAAGAAGGCTAAATCTGGATGTAATGCACTCATGCTATCTCAAACTCATTGAAACCATAGATAATCATGTTCTGACGGCTATGCAAAACTGGTAACCTAAGATGAAAAGAATAATAGCAGCTACCTACAACTCATCATGCGCAGGATCAATCACTTTAACCCCCCAACTCACATCCTCACAGTGCTTCACATGGGGAACTTGTGCACCGGTGTCCGTCCCTCTCTTCTCCTTGCAGTCATACAATGGAGGGGCATGAAAACAAGGCTCCATGGACATTGCTAGGCGACAAGGCGGATCTGGAACCGTGTCGTTCTCTGTCTTCACAAGGATCCATGGCTTCATGCCTCCCAAACCTTGAGCAACATAACCGAAAGTTGACCATGCACTCGTGACCAAGTTATCGGTCAAACTCAAAAGATACATCTCTGCCCATGCCTTTCTATTGTGCATTCGCTTCTCCGTCTGTTGGAACTCTTCGTGACTCGGTTGGTAAACCCCAACAACTTCCCCATTAGAAGTTGGGTGCTCCCAATACATGCTCCTCAGATCATCCGAGTAATCAAGCTTTAATGATGTTACTAATATTGCAGTCGATTTCGGGTTCTTCTTGGATGAGGTGAAACCAGAGGCCTTCACGTCGACACGTGGTAACAAGTTCTGGTTCAGAGTGCAGGATCTAATCTGATCCATGACATGCTTGAAAGGTCCCGGCCTTGGATCAAAAACCCTAACTTGAACTCCAAGGCTCTCGTCTGCATGAGCTAGGTAAGTTTGATGATACCGTGTGATCAAACCCCAAACAGCATTTGTAGGGTGGAAAAGATATTGACCCAAGTAGTGGAAGACAGTTGCCTTTTCAGGAAACATTTTCTCCAGTTCTTGTTCAAAAGCTGTAATCAAGAAGAGTGAAGGGACAAAGTAGTTATCTGTCCTCATTACAAGCCAAGGCACTTTGCTGAGAAGAGATTGATCATCATCACAGAAGAAAAGCTTGTCTTCTGCATCATAGTCATGTGCTACATGGAGGTATACATATGATGGAACCGAGTTTGTTGAATAGTTAACGGCTTTATCCTTCAGCATCTTACCGTAACACCGAGAGTTTCCCTGATTGAAGCTGTCAAACTGCTTGGTGAGTGGGAAATCCAATGGCAGTAGCCATGAGTTACTTGGAAATGGCTCGCAGAAAAGGTCTTTCATGTCTTTTCCTTCGTCAACTAGCAGGACTCTGTCTGTGAGTAGAGCGTAGAGGAATGTAGCAGCTATGGAAAGTATCCTGTTTCCCAAACCGCTGTACGATATCCACACAACGTATTTACAATCTGAAGAATCAACATCTTTATGGTCTGACCTCAGTAGCTTAACGGCGTTTTTATAGGGCTCGGTGTTTGGTCCACATCGATTATGGAGTTCTTCATAGCTTCTGAGCTTGGCAATGAGATGTGGAGATGGCTTTCGATGCCTATCCTTGCGGTAGGAATATGACTGGTACCTACTAGCACAACTAGCTTCATCAAAACCTTCAGCCAGAAGTCCTCCCAGAAGCTTGTCACCAGCAGCATTCTTAGAAGGTTGAACAATTTTGACATCTTCTGAGCCTACAGATTGACAGCAATTAGCAATACCTCATCAGCACAAGAAAAAATGAAGAGAAAAAAAAGGAAATGATGAGGTTTTCACAATCATTAAGATCCCAAATAACATAAACACTGAAAATAGATGGTTAGTTAACATCACAACAATGGAAAGCAAGTTAACATTATGAACTAAATAAACCTACTGCTATATCAGGTTATTGAAATCTAGACTGAAAAGGAAACCATTAAAGAGGTTGGACTAATTTCTAAACCATTCCAAAGCAAGCAAGGATGCGGTTCACCTTATCTAAGAATGGAAACAGAGCACCAGTAACCTTATTCCACCAAACCAACCCAGACAAAAAGGGTTTACTCGCAAAACCGCCAGAATCTCTAGTGGTCAGCAAAGTTGGTTTCTTTCCCATATGCATTTGATGAACCAAGATCCAATCAAGCCATAGCAACTCGACCGCCCAAAAAAAACCCAAATTGAAATCAGAAAAAAAAAGATCAACTTCCCACATAATCACAGTTGCATCGCTGATGAGAAATGGAGAGAAAGGAAAGAAGCTCACCAGGAAGAGTGGCATTCAGCTGAGCTCGAAGAACCTCGTTGACATTCCCATCACCCGACGCCTCCTTCTGGACAATGGGCTCGTCCCCTGGATTCACGAGAACTCTAGCGTCGGCGAACCCGAAGCCGAGATCGAACTGCGGGCGTCGCAACACGACGGAGAGCAAGAAGATCGCCGGCAAGGCGAGCATGAGAGCTGCCACTAACTTGGAGACGCTCATTCCGTCGGTGGATCCGAATCTCTTGACGACGGAGGAGGAGGAGGAGAAGGAAGTGGAGGTGTGATCGGAAGGGTTTGGAGACGGCAGTCGCTTCCTCATGATGTGAGGATTTAGATCCATACTTGAAGCATCCAGCTTTGAGAATTGAATTTAGGAAAGTTCGGAAGATGAGTTTCCTGATTTCGCGACTCCCTCCTTCCCTTTCTGACATTTTCCCGTCTGTCCGGTGCGTTGATTTTATGGATTACCGGCTTAGACGTGGGGTACAAATGGGGAATTTTTATTGTATTTTCTTTAGTTAACAGTGATATTTAATCCCAGTTCATTTGACATTTAGCGGTTAAATTGTACACCGTACCATAAATATCACCGTTTTTTTTAATTACCCAGAAACCTCAACAGCACATGCTACTTTGTGACAGCGTTGTCTATAAATATCACGGATTTTAGAAGTGTTTTTCTTGTTAAAATCTGAAGTAGGGTCAAGCAACTTTAAAAGTTAAGCTTTTGAAAATTGAAAATTGTTTTTCTATACATAAAAGCAGAAGATCTAATTTGAAATTTCTACGAAAAATTGTTCTGAAAATACATGACTATCATTACTATATTTTAATTTTATTTTAGAAAATATAATTTTTCTTTCATTTCTATCATTTTAAAAATAAAATAAAATAAAAAATATTATTATTTAATATAAAATAAATCTAACAATATCCATTTTGACTACTTTTTATTTTTAAGAGTTTTTATTCATATTTTACATTATAAATCATAATTTAGTAATTTTACATGACCTCTTATATTAAAAATTTCTTCTAGTAGTTTTTCAGCCAAACAATCAACTACTTTTTTTGAAAAGTACTTTACCAAAAAACTCAAGCCATAAGCTGCTTCTGCCAAACTAGCCCATACAAGGAGTAGAAAGTGCATATAATATACCCAACTCTAAAATTAATATTAAGATATGTAATTTTGAACTTTAATTAGTAGCATTACATAATATGAAATGATGATATGAATTTGATATTGGATTACAACTAACTATTGCATTATCCTAAACTCTAAATCTTTATATTTGAATCCTAGCCCTAAATTCCAAATTATAAATCCTAATCCTAAATCCCTAAACCCTCAATGCTTCAAATTGAAGTAAATTTTGAATGAGTTTTTTTTTTTTTGAAAATATATGTTTCTTGTTCATCATATCACAAATGACGATCAATATTGTTTTGACATGAATCACATGCTCGGAATGACGATTATGAGACGAGTACATTGAATGCACAAAAAAAAATGAGTGCACCGAAACCAAAATCATATATATATTATAGGTGACTTCTATCGTACACCAGACATATATTGGGGTATGTCGTACACCAGCAATCTCCACTGTCTACGCCATCTCAACGGCCAGCATTAATGCGGGTTCTTTTTTTTTCTTTGTGGGATTAAAAAATAAATTACCTCATTTATATGGGTCATTCAGATGGACGCGGACGGTGAAGATTGCCTGGTGTACGACATACACCAGGTTTTGACTGCTGTATGATAGAATCATTCATATAGTATAACAATTAATAAGTGCTCATTTGTTCATATGTTTGTCCTTCATTCCTTGATTGTTATTGATAATTTATTTTGGGAACGTCCTATTCCTAGCCCATTTTTATGTTAGGTTGTGTTATTTTTAAAATATTCCATGTCTTAGGAAGTGGAAGAAGTTTATGAGCGAGTTTCGAGATGGGTGGAGGTCAAAATGTGTGAAAAGTAAAATCTCTCCCAAACTCACGAACTGGGCCTTAAAGTCACGACCCAGACCGTGACATCGAGGCATGAGGAGGCATAACAACTACTGAGATGTTTTGGTGGATTTTTTCGCCATTAGAACTCGAGAATCAAGCCTAGGAATGGAGATTACCAATCGTATGCATTCTATATCTTCTCTATGGAGTAACTTCCCTTTACTTAGGTTTGAGGAACCCTAGTCGGGTTTTGTTTGGATTGATGATTGTATGAGTAGCCTAACTTGCTAAACTCGAGTTCATATTCAATCTATGCATATTTATTGTTCATTTATGCTTTTAATCAAGATGATTGATTCTAATTTGATTATATGAGAGGGAATACATAATTAGGTCAATAGAGCACTTTAGATTGGAAGTAGGAGATCGATTGTGTGAGAGTGAGTCAATTCATTACTTTGTATTCGTTGAGAGTCTTGCTCGGTAAAGGAAGTCTTGTTCTGAATTATCTTGGTATTATGTCTTAGTTGAGGATACGTCCATCTAAGCAGTCCATTCAAGAGGGTCGTGTTTGCTTTAATTGAGTTTTAAGGCTTGTTAAAGACTTTTCACATTATGAATGAAGAGTGAAACAAGTTAGAGAATCATCATTCATTAGCCCGACTAGTAGCTAGGGGATCAATATATGAGTGAGTTCCTATCTTATAATTTGTTAGATTACATTTTCTTAGTTTTCTAGCGTAGTCGTAACTGTTTTACCCTGAATACGATTTGTTCAATAATAAACTCAATTTGAGTAATAGTAAATTTAGAGACCCGTGGATTCGATATTTATTACTTTTGCTATTATATTGCAATCCATTTCCTTTGTTTCCTTTTTCTTTTCAATCCTTACTTTTCACTTGAGTGTTTTGTTTTTGGTTGTACAGTTTAAAATCATGAATCCCAATTACTTCTCTGACATATTGGAGTATCAACCAACACTCTATTTGTATTACCCCAAGATTTCATGGAACAACTTGTACGGAGAAGAATATTAATTTGGGATCCAAAAAAGATTTAGATGTGTGTTTGGAGAACCAGGAAGGTATGTGGGATGACTGTATAGATCATTCACACAAAAGTTCGATGCTTTTGCGGCAAGACATGGATCCTTCTCAAGGGATCTGGAAGTAGTGTGGGAAGTGGGTTAACTTTGTGATGGTCTGGATAGAATGACTTTGCAGTTGCAAGATTTTGATGGTTTTGGATTTGAAAGAATTTGTATGTAATGGTGGCATTCTTAGAGGATAAATTCATATCCGCTTTTTGATGGACTTGCTAGAAAGTTCATTATTTGCTTGGCTTTTTTAGGGAACCAATCTATTTGGGTCCATGAATTTTGAAGGGCCAAATTTGTCGGTCCAAATTTGTGGACCCCATAGACTTACATCCAAAGTTGTCAACCCGCGGGTTGACCCGGACCTGGTTGAGCTAGTGGGTCAAGAGTTGAGCTAGTGGGTCAAGGGTTAATGAGTCATCCGTTTTAGTCCGGTTTAGCCGGGAAATATGGAAAGCGTCATTATATTGTACTTATCCTGATAAATTATATAAAATCTCATCTAACATATGAGTTATAACATATAATATTACACCAAAATAACATTTCGTACTTATATTCAACATATAGTGAAAATTCACACACACTTATATAACATTAATATTCAAATGTTCAACTTAGGATTCCAAAGATTGAGTTAGGCGAAAAGAAAAATCGGAAAATAGGCGCATTTCGCAAAACAAAGAAAAAAATGACACAATTTGACCTCCAACCCGGTACCTTGTAGCGGTCGACCCGGCGGGTGCGTGCAGCCCGTTTTCCTCACCGGGTCGGGGTCAAAGTGGGTCAACCTGTGGGTCGACCCGCGGGTCACATCCAATGGTTGGAGTTGGAATTTTGTGATGGTCAAAATCCATGATGTGCATTTACTCCTATATCCACATAGATTTTCTAGGCAAAATACACTTGCATAGTCATAACTTTCACGTTTGTTACAAATATAACCATAACTATCGAAAAATCCAAAATAGCCAAATAAAAAATGGATGGTCGTGTGACAAATCTAGCCATTTTCGTTAGAGACTTTAACAGTGTTAGAAACTCCGTCAGTTAGGTTAACGTTACGCTGACTAGGATGTCAAATCATCGCACATGTTAGCGACCAATCATCATATTATTGTCACGTCATTTTGAGTTATAAAAATAATTAATTTTGAAATTAAAACACAAAAATATTTTTTCTAAGTTTTCCCCTTCCCTATCCATTGCACCAACTTTGCCTCTTTGCATATGGGGATTTTGTTCATGGGTTTGAGCGGATTAAAAGGGTTATGGGTTTGGCTGGAGACTGGTAGAGAGAGAGGGAGGGATAAAGCATCAGTTACAAGGGAAGCATGCTTGCTGCTTCGTCGGAGAAGAGGTCGATTAGCCTTGTGGATCCACGCTTGCTGCGTCGGTGGAAATGGTGATGGCAAACCCAAAGCCCCTTTTACGCCTCCTTTGTCCATTGCAAACCCAATGGTCTCCCTTTCTCCCACCACCGTTCAACTTGTAGCGCCGTCGTCTCTGGTTTTGAACCCGTGCCTTGCTTTCTCAACCGCCAGAGTGTAGAGATCGAAAGGGCCTGCTGAATCCGATGGTCAAGAAAATTGTCGAATTTGCATATGAACGTGTTTTTGCGCAACATCCTCATTTTGAGCTTCCTTACCTTCGATTTAGGGCAGCTTTCTTTCGCGTTGAACGGTCTGTCCACCTCTTTGCATTCGATTCGTGGCTGGAACTAGATCTAAAGAACCCAAACAATCCCATACTCCCAATTAGATCCTCGATGCGTCAAAAGGAGTGGTTCTGGCAGATCGAACTCCAGCTGGTGGGGACTCCGCTGCTACCCAGAATGAACGAGTCTGATCTGTTGCGCGCTTGTCGCGGTGGCGGCGCTCGGCAAGTCGTCGTAGATCTCGAGGAAGTGGCGGAGTTGGTTGCGAGACTCTTGGTGATTGTTGAGGCGCTTGCTGATGAGTCTCTTGGCTTCTTTGACTGCAGGGAAGAGGTAACTTCTGGGAGTTTGGCGAACTCCCAACGTCGACGGGGAAGGGAACGGAACGGGAAGGGGGAAATTAAGATGAGTGACAACGACAGAAGTGGGGGAATTGGGAAATGAGGAATTTTAGAATGCTATATAGTATTGGTGCTATAGGTTTTTGTCTTTATGGTACAGTTTGAAATTGTACCTTTAACGTTATGGTACAACTTCATATTGTACCTATACTTTTTGTACAAATTCTTTTATGGTACAACTTAAACTTGTACATTTATGTGAGGGTACAACTTCAAGTTGTAAAGTTGTACCATAACATAATGATACAAATTCCTTTATGGTACAACCTAAACTTATACATTTAATGTTATGGTACAACTTCAAGTTGTACATTAAAGCACCAATATTATATAGCATAGTAGTAGTGCTCTTGGGAAATAACGCGATGAGAGATAGTATGTTGGGGGGAGAAGATATTTTATTTTTGTTAATCCACGTTGGTTAGTGGGGTCAATAAATTGCCAACTCATCATATTCCGTCTGTCTAGTCATATGGTTAACTAACACCGTTAAAGCAATGGATGAAATTGGTTATTTTTTGTTTTCGGATAAGTATGGCTATATTTGTCACAAATGTAAAAGTTATGGTTATACAAGTGTATTTTGCCTATTTTCTATATACTCTCATGTTTCCTTCTTAACCCTTCCCTCCCAACCTCCATCCACTTCTCTACTTTTTTATTTATTTCAAGAAATAACAGTCATTGTAAATTTCCGTCTCCAACCTTCAACCATACTCACTGTATAATTTCGTCGCCGACCATTAATTCAACCATTTTTCCATTTTTGCTTTATTATCTACACCAGCTCGCTTCGTCGTGGACCTTTTTTTATGTTATTTGTATCAAGAGTAATGACCATTGTTGTTAAAGCCGATCCGAGTTGGCTGGTCGAACCTCCGAAATCGCCACTCGGAGGCCAAACTGGCTCAGATTAGTCTAAAAGCCGCAACAGGTAAAATAGGAGTCGACGAGCGGCCGAAACGGTTAACCGTTCGAACCGCCGACCTGTTTTCATTTACTGGCCGCCTGCTGTAAAAAAAAAAAAAAAGAAATAATCAATGGGAGTCGAGGCGAGGATTACTGGCGACTTTGCTGTTCTTTGATGGTCGAGATGGCCGTCCTCGGGATGCAGTTCCCGGATCTGAGAGCGGCAATGAGTAGGTGGATGCAGATGTGTCTGGCGAAGCAGATGCGACACAAGGTGATGGCGGCGGGTGCGGCGAGCACAACAAAGGCGGTGAGGCTGCCTAAAGTAGAATAAATTGGTTTGGGGTAGGGCTTTCGTGAAGAACGCAGAAAAATGAAGAAGGAAGAAAAGATTCGTGAGTTTGAATTTTGAAAGAGAGAGAGGGTGAGGAAGGTGAGCAGCAACACCACTAGGGTGGGTGGGGTGGGGTCAGGGATGGCAATGGGTCGGGTTTTGCCAAACCCAAACCCAAACCCATGGGTTTATCCGTGAAAAAAACCCGGGGTAAAACCCACTGGGTTTGAAAAACTCAAACCCAACCCGCTAGGTACCCACGGGTTTTTGTCGTAAAAAATTTACAATAACAAATTCCTATCAAAATCAAAGTCAAATATCAATCTCTCAATACAAATTATCCATATATAAAACACCATTCTAGAAAATTCAAGCAAATCACAAATATACTATACAAATTGTTCAACACCAATCTAGAAAACTCAATAAAATTGAAGCAAATCACAAATTATCTATAAATAACATGATTAATTGAAAGCTTCTTCCTTTCAATTAAGTTTCTTCATTCTCCACTCTATGACATCAACTTCATTCTACACAATTAGAAAGAAAAAATTAGATATGTCTCCACAAACATATATAAGATTAGTTGTTTATAATATTAGATATACCGAGAAAATTAACTATATGGGTGTGGGCGGGTACCCATGGGTCGGGTTTACCTAAACCCAAACCCAACCCAACCCGGCGAATAGTGAACGGATTTAAACCCAAACCCGGCCCAAAACCCGTCAACACGTATTTTACCCGCGTAGACCGGGTTGGGTCGGGTGGGTACCCGTGGGTTTGGGTTTTGTTGCCATCCCTAGGTGGGATGGGGTATGATTTTTTATTTTCTACTTATCAGTTACTGATAAATTTTACTAGCGTGGCCCCGGCCAGTTGGCCGGAGGAAGGTGAGGTATGAAATTTGATAATGTATGCAACGAATCAAAAATCGGTCTTATGAACCAAAATCAAGTACCTGTTACCTTGTGAAACAATATTGTTTATGGTAATTTGATGAGGTGGAGTAAGTTTTATAGAAACCGAATTCCAGAAAATCGAATAAAAAATCGTATATCCCGTCGGTTTTCGGGAAATGAGCATCTCACAATCGTAGCTAGCTTTTACTCGGCCCGTTGGCCAATTAATTTGCTTTATAAAACTTTCATCTTGTCGTCATTGTGTTTCCTGGTTTTTGTCAGACCATGATAAAATCGAAGGAAATCAAGAACGAACAACACGATTTGGGAGAGGAACCGCCGTTGTCGTATCCCTAGAAAATGGTGGTAAACATAGACTCTCCTGCCAAACTGGTTTGGATTGAGATTTTTATTGGATATGAGGGAACCATGTGATTATAAATTAGACTTTATCAAAACGGGCCAAAACTTGAAATTCAGCCTGTTTGACCGATCCATGCCAAATTCTAATTATTCTTTACTTTTAAACTTTCTATTTGAAAATAAAAAATAGTGAAAGAAAAGAGATGACTGCAATTCGCCATTTGCACATCACTTATTCGGGAATAAAACCATAGAAATTCAAAAGGAACTGAAAATGTTTAGGATCATTTTAATGTTTAAAATAACCAAATAGATCTTTCTGTTTAGTTTTTTTACTAACAAATACCAAACAATTCCCTATAAATTACACTATAATTTGATCATTATGATATCAAATAATTATATAATATATATTTGAAATGATAAAAATTGGACTAATTGGGTTGGTCGACGTTGAACCATTGAATAACTTTAAAATACATTATATTTTAGCCACTAAGATATAAAATAATAGCATAATATATATTATGTCAGAGAAAATAGCTTGTTTTAGAATGTCAAACGACTCAAACCAATGATGTTCATTTGTTTTACTTGATGGCCAATCCCGTGTAGGTCAGACCCATTCAACTCTTTTATTTTATGGTTAGCGGTTAGCCCATTAGATACCATGCATTAGTTTATTGTTAAAATTTTTATTTTTAGCAATATAAAAAAGTATTGTTTTTGCCTTTTCATATATATTTTATCACCACGGAGAAATAAAAGGGCTTAAAGAAAAAAATTGACACTCCTGTATCCGTTTAAATCCGCATGTGTACAGTAAGTTGGCCCGTTCCACAGAGGAAAGAGAAAAAAATTGACACTCCTTATTCTACCCTTCCTACAAACGCTACTGGAGCAGAGAATTTGAAAACCACAAATTTTAAATTGAAAAATGCAAGGACACAACACGTAGTGACAAAATTAGTTTTTTCCATGTTAGCCAATTACCAATTTACCTTTAGCAATAATTAAGGAGAGAGAAAGAATTTTAAAATTGAGAAAGTACGTGAAATTCTACAATGAAAATTGAAGTATTAGGCACCATAAAAATACATACGGTATACTTAGTGGGCTTGCTAATCATGATGGAAAATCTTGCGATTTTCAGAGAGTTGAACTTCGTTTATATTTCGTATTCAAAAAGACACAACAAATTTGTTTAGTGTAAATGGTTGTGAATTGTGATTGTTGTCTTTGTTTGAAGAGACTCGGGTTCAAATCCTGATGTTGATATTTTTATGTGAGATAAATAATTAATTGTAAAGACAAAAATGTCCTTCCTACTTTCACTCTCGTTGCAGAAAATTTGAAATAGAGAAAAGTACACAAAAGTGTACTATATATTATTGGGGTATTTATATTTTTATGTTACGTTTAAGCTAATCAATCGGTTTAATTTTATTAGCAATCCTTCAATCGAGATGATACATAAAGAAAGAATATATAGGTCTAACATTAGGAGAAATACCATCATCATTTAAGAATATAAAATATAAAATTTATCATTAATTCCATTTTCATAATGATAATTAAGCCCTCGTTAAAATGCTATTGGTTAGTTGATTCTCAAAAAAGAGGGTATAAAAGCTCAATGAAATTCCACAAGACCCATAGATAATTTGAAGCTAAATCTTAAAACTCACAATCCTATATAAGGGTTTAATGCGCTCCTTTTATGAACAATATGTCACTAATCAAAAAGAAATGGAGAGTTGTTGATTCAAGTCAACTATATACTAACAACTCAGCTAAGAGGGGACCATCAAAATTTGAGAGCAAACGACAAAATTAGGGTTATTTCGAACATACTAATAGACTCAATCAAAGTAATAAGGCACAAAAGTAAACACTCTTTGTCTATCAGTTCCAGTAGGTTGAATAAAGAATCGACCTACTTCAGTAAATCAATCAATGATTCTTCGTTTTTAGATAGAAATAGGTTGTGATAGATGTAAAAACCATAAATATGAAGATCCAATAGCCACCACTCTTCGTTGTACAACCAAATTTTTATCTCAAGATACATATGTTTCAACCAAAAATTCAATTTCTAATCCTCCTTCTGCAACTCCATTTTTTATTAAACTCTTTTACTTGCCCAACTTAAATCCCCAACAATAAAACCAACGTGCCAAGAGATACCGGATGATTGATATTCAAAGGCGGCCTTGTACTGGGAAGTGAAAGGGGCACAAACTATTGTACGAAGGAGGGAATTTTTGAGGAAGTTAGAAAGAGATAAGAACAAAGATAAAAATCAGAAAATTTAAATTGAAAAATGCAAGGACACAACACTTAGGACAAAATTAGTTTTTTCCATGTTAGCCAATTACCAATTTACCTTTAGCAAAACTTAAGGAGAGAGAAAGAATTTTAAAATTGAGAAAGTACATGAAACTCTACAATGAAAATTGAAGTATTAAGCACCATAAAAATAAATATGGTATACTTAGTGAGCTTGCTAATCATGATAGAAAGTCTTGCGATTTTCAGATAGTTGAACTTCGTGTATATTTTGTATTAAAAAAGACACAACAAATTTGTTTAGTATAAATGGTTGTGATTCTTGTCTTTGTTTGAAGAGACCCGGGTTCAAATCTTGATGTTGATACTTTTTATGTGAGATAATTAATTAATTGTAAAGACAAAAATGTCCTTCCTACTTTCACTCTCGTTGCAGGAAATTTGAAATGGAAAAAAGTACACAAAAGTGTACTATATATTATTGGGGATGTGTAGATTCTAATTATTAAATTCTTAAATTACTATATTATCTTTTTTACTTATAATATTATTGTTTATAAGATACTAGTTTTTAACGGTCTACTATCTGTTAGACTATTAAAATGCGAGTCGTTCACATTATCAGGTCAAGCTCCAACTCGGTTTTAACAACATTGGTAATTACCACAGAATTTTGATCGCTTACATAACTGAATTATATGTTAATTTATGTCAAACTATTACCCAATCTTATATATGTAGTTGAATTAGTCATCGAAATAGCGGGTTGAGAGGAAATTGATTTATTTGTACGCATGATTTTGGATTTCCTTTTAATAAAATATTGAAATGTATTAGAAAAATAATCATATAAGAGTAAGAAGGCAATTTGTGTTCCATACTAAAATATCTATTAAAGTAAAATTCATAATCAAATTCAATAGAAAACATTATATACTCTTCAAATTCCTAATTTCAACAAATCCATCATAAATATTGGATTTTACAAAATTCAAATTTCATCAAAACTATTCATTTTCAAATCCATTAAGCAATCAACCTTTGTCATTGACAGCCCACTTTATAGTTGGGCTCGAGAGACAAGAGTTTTAATTGGGCTAGGCTCAAGAGGAACTTGTCGTGAAACACAAGTCAGATACGTCTACATAAAATGGGAGCAGCCCAATCGCTGAAATTTGGAAACAGTGAAAACACTGACACGTAGAATTTTTTTTCCCCATTTCTTTCTGGTTGGGGTTTTGGGGAGGTTTTTTCCAAGTTTCAGCCATGGGAGGCGAACTCTCTTCAACCAGCACAGAACCTTCCACAAACCCTAACCACCCGGAGAAGTCCTCTCCGCCGCCTGCAATTTCAACGGCTCCCGGCGATTCGCACAACCCAATTTCTTCCCCCGTCTCAGATAATCCCGCTGGCATGCCGCCTTCCAATCCAAACCCTACCGCTGAGCAACAAACTACGGCTGAAGAATCAGAACAGTCGAAGCCGGCAGCAGAGAAGGAGGAGGGAGACGAGGAGGAGGAAGAAGGAGAATGCGGGTTCTGTTTGTTCATGAAAGGCGGCGGGTGCAAAGATGCCTTCATAGCTTGGGAGGAATGCGTGAAGGAGGCGGAAACTGCGAAAGAGGATTTAGTGGAGAAGTGCTCCGAGGTAACTAGGTTGTTGCAGGTGTGTCTGTACGCGAACCCAGATTACTACGAGCCGATCTTGAGGGCAGAGAAGAACGTTGAGGAGCAGGCGAGGAAGGAGATCCGTGAGGAAGAGGAGCAGAGGAAGGCTGCTGCGTCGGCGGTTGAGAAGGAAGGAGACGCGGCCGCTTCGAGATCTGAAGTCATTGTGGTGGAGGAGGAGGCTTCTTCAACTACGCAATGACCTAGCTCCGGTTAGAATTGCCATTGATCTTTTCCCCCTTTGCTGCTGTAGTTGAGAATTGATTAGAACTTTGTGAGGTTTGTGCTCTATAGAGAGAAATTTACCTATTGACTCTGAAATCAGCTAGGAAATTCAGCTAATGGGTGTTTGTTAGCTCAAGTGTTTCTTCCTTTGTAGAATAAAAGGATGGTAATGACCAATATACATTGTCCCATTTATACACTCTCTCCCTCTCTTGCTTTGTTCTGATGTTTTGTTCACAATCCACAATTTCGAGTTTGAAGCTCTGAGTTTGCCCATGAAATCCAGACTACTGTTCTTGAAATTAATAGGAGTAGGACTAACTTATGTGACAAACAAAGATGGGGTTCATCCGTTTAATTGCATGCTTGGGGATGAATGAATGGTGATAATCTTTCTTCTGTCTGCTATGGTTTGGTCTTTGCTCTGGAATCTATTTTCTCTTGTGCTGAATGGTGAATTGATTGATTATTGTGCTATGTCAATCAGGGTAAGGGGTGGTTGACAAGGAATGTGATTACCTGATTAGAATGACAAAGCTATGGCTTCATTTGTCAATGCCTTCAGAACTTAGGACATAACGTTACCATATCATTTATAGAGGACATTCTATTCTGTAGCTGATTTCTCATCAGGGACTGATGGCCTACTTTTGTTTATGATGCTTTTGTTTATTCTGCCATAATGCATCTTCTTTATATTTGCTTATATTTCATATATTTTCACGTCAATGAAGGATGAATGCCTTTAGTAAGTGTGGCGTTGCTGGTGGCACATGCATACAATTTGATGGATGCAGAGTCTGCTGTAGTTTCACTTTATATGTCTATTTCTGATTGAGTTTTCTAATAGTTTCCTTGTCCCAGTTCCGTACTTAGATATTTGTATTAGAATTAGTTTTCTTGCACATTAAGCTTGTAGCTTCTGTTAAAGGAGGTTCGTTCTAAAGAATTCATAAATGAGATGGAGTCTGTTGACTTGTTCTCTTTGAGCGGATTCTGAAAACCCTTCTTAATTCGAATCCCAAACGAGGTCTTGCTCCTTGATTAGGGAGGTTCCCCCGTAAACCCTATTTTGCTAATGATTTCTGAAATTTCCAGCTACTATCTCAACAGTATACAATCCTACATATTCCCTAGTTGCCTATAAAACCCTAGGCATATCAGAGCTTATTTTCCTTGGGGATCATTTTGGGGTATTGCAGTATTATCTCACTTTTGTGGCGGCATGCTGTGATTTTTTGTAGTGGTTTATGCTAGACTAAGCTCCATCACTTGTCCTTTTGCATCTGTGGGGTTTGAGATTAGTTCTCAACATCAACAAATTCCTTCTTGAAATATATGTTTTTGGTTGTGCAGCGCCCCTGAAACCTTTGACATCCCTGGGGTTATACTGATATGATCTTGAATAGGGGAGATGTTTCTCTTCTTTGGATTCTCTAAACTTTCTAATCGTTCAACACCACAATAACATGGCATGGATTCAGCTTTAACATGGCCAAGGCCAGCAGTTGGTTTATGATTTAGTGATTGGGTGCTGAAAAATGATGAAGAGCTACTGAGCTAGAGCATATTTGTGTTGGAGGAAATTTTTATTAAATGTCAGCATCTGAAACCAACTAATTCCACCACAGGAAGCTAAGTAGCTGAATTCCTGTTTCTCACAAGGAGAAAAATGGAAGCGATCCGGTCTAAATGAAGACTAGAAAACTTGAACCTTGAAGACTTCAATGAACTTTGAATATGAACATACAAACTTTACATTTGTGAGATTTCAAAATTCCACATGGACAGAAATTTTGGGGTTTTTTTAGCTCTAGTCAAACGCAGTATTTTGATGAAATCTCACATTCTGTGAGATTGTGACAAAATTCTGCATCTAAATCCCATCCAAACTACCCTCACAAAATGGTACAGTTTCGGACCCTGGCAGTACAGCCTGAGTTAGAACAAAGCTGCTCTTCTGTCTCCTATGTGGTTACTCATCCTTGTCACCATCTTCATCATAGTTGAAAGGCAAAGGTACGGATTTGAACGCTCGGTATTTCCCTACATTGTTAAGATGCTCATTCTCTAACCTGCGAATAAATGACCCACAGTTGTATTGTACTGATGGAGTTAGCTGGTAAGTCCACAATAGTCTCATCTTCCACCTTTGACAGAGTTAATAAAAGTATGTTACCTGAAGAAGTTCCAGATGCCTCTACGAATAATCTCCAAGCTTGCAAAAATGACAATCGTAGTTTCCCTATGCAGCGGGATTAGGTCATAGCCGAGGACCGTCTGCAGCCAAGCAAATCTCAGCAATACATTCAGTACCTGCAAAATGTTAACAAGGCCCAACAGGTTAGCTCCCAGCATTTAGCAGCTTCCATATTGAAGATAAAAGCTTGAAACTTTCTGGACTTACGATTGCGAAGTAATATACTTTTTTGTGCGGGACAAGGAGTTTGTCTCTGAGCCACCAGTTCTTGGAGTGGCGTTGAAGAAGCCCCCAGTCATAGACGAGGTCCCAGTAAGTGGAGGCAATGGCTGCAATGGCGGAGAATACCCCAGCTAGTACAAGCCAAGCAGAACTGTTGTTCAAGCTATAGGCTGTTCTCATGGTGACTGCTACTATCGTCACGAAGTACTTCAACCCATTGAGACCTTGCATGGGATCTTTCTCTTCAAACAACCGGCGAAGGCACTGAAGGAGGCGTGACACAAATGGGATGACAGCGACAACGAAATAGAAAGTGTTGTATACCCCACTATCCCTGCAAGTGTTCTCCCTATGTCTGAAGTCGCCCCAACCATAATAGCAGACGTAGAACTCCAGACTTCTGATTGCTTGCACCTGAAGAAAGTAGATATAAATATGTTGGAAACAGATGGTTTCTTGGTTCCCCTTTGAGGAATTGAAGTTCAGTTTAATGGTGTGAGGGTCTTTGATTGCTAACCTGGCTGGTTAGTTGATCTGCCAAGAAGAAATCTGGTAGTGTGACCTGCAGCAAAAGAAATAAATTCAATATATGAGCCAAAGAAAACCGTAGCTTCATTATGCATGGGTCGAACAAACAATTACCTTGTAGAGGGGAGCAGCGATGCAGTGGAAGATACATGTGAGCAAGAAGAAGCGAGAAGAGCGATACAGGATGTTGAATGGCAAGAACAACAAAACCAGGAGCAGCTGCAGAGAACCATAGACAACATGGGAGCGTGGTGAGTTCATGAATTTTTGCAAGTTTCGAGTTGCTGCTGGGAAACTTGGATTTCCAATGATCTTACAGTGAGCAGGCCCAGAGGGATGAGTTCAGTAAATGCTTGGTAATCCTTTGTCACGGGATCCATTTCCATGTCGAGATTCGAGAGTACACTGCAAAGTGCTAGGACTGCAATACCAAAAGCCACCAGGAAGACTTGGCGGTACCCTAATTCAGTCCCTGGCCTGAACCCAAAAATGAAGGAATAGTTGACCCGGTATCGCCTCCAGAAGTAGATGTTTGCAGCATACATGACAATGTGCAGAACAACGAAGCCGAAAAAGCTGCAAATAAATGGCCATTGCTTGCTAAGCTCTTGAAGAAAAAGGGTAAATAAATAGTTACAGCAAGAGGCTGAATGAATTCTAGGTAATTTCTACCTGTAAATTGGAAACATGGTCACCATGTACTTTTGCCTCCCTTCCTTATCCATGATATTGCGAGCTCTGACAACCAGGATTAGGGCTATGAAAAGAGCAGCTGTGCAGCCAGAGAAGAACCCTGTTGAAATTTTCCGAAAACTGCAAGAGTTAGAGAAGAGTACCAAGCTACACACTCATCCATTCGGATTCGGTTTTTCGGGTTTACCCTAAACCAACCCGATTAAATACATTTTCAGTTTTTCGGGTTCGGGTTCATTTCAGGTTTCGGGTTCGATTTTGCTTATCGATTTTTCGGGTTTCGGCTAAAAACCTCCAATGAATAGAACTTAGCCCATATTTTTAGGCGTTCGGATTTTCGGGTTTCGGTTTTGATTTAACCGAACCCGAACCTGATAAAGAATTTTCGGATTTCGGGTAACCGGAACCCGCAAGCCCTTATCGAGTTCGGGTTCGATTTTAGTGATTTTCGGTTTCGGGTTTTCGGATTTTTTTCCAGGTTTCGGTTTGTGTAACCGAACCTGACTCGAACTGACACCTCTCGGAGCTTCTAAGAAGTTGGAAAATTATGTTATGTGAAAAATTAAGGCGATTTACCCATAGTAAATGTTGTCCTATGCCTCTCTCTTTTAGCTGCTGGCCTCAATATGTTCATTCCTTTACTGCGATTTGCATTTGAGAAATGCTTGATGAATGTAGCTTCAACCCTTTCCATCAGCTTGGTTACATCATCAGAAGCTCCCAGGTACGAGTTATCCACCATTCTCATGTAAGCTGCTGATGCACTTCTCGAAGTAATCTTATCATACTTCTTCATGATTTTCGAAAACGCGAGTGTGTTCAGGAAGCTGTAGCTCTTGAGAAGGCGAAGCTTCTGGTAGAACTCCACGAAAGCACGTTTGAGCTGCTCCTCTACCTTCCTGAGGTTCTCCCTCGTGAATTTGAGCTCCTTGTGGCCAGGGATCTGGAGGAATCCTTTAATGGTGGATCGTGGTGTCTCGGAGGTGTTATTCATCTTCACGCGGTCCAACACCTCCAGTTGAGATGGTCTCACCGCATTGATGTTGTTTGATTTCTTCTTGGGTTTCTCCTCCTCCTCTTTCTCTGCATCATCCTCGTCTTGGCTCGATGACCCATCCGATGATGATTGCTCGTGACTGATTGATCCTTCCTCAATAACTTCCATTAAATGAACGTTTCCTGCCATAACATCACCAAAAGCTTTAATAGGTTGACAATAACACCCAATAGCTTATTCTGCTCATCACCTATCAATGTAAGCCAAATTGGTTTGAAGTACTTACTGCTTGCCCTGGCTCCAGAAGGAGTAGTAGCAGACAACGCAGCAGCAGAAGCAGCAACATCCGAGGCCAGCCGAGTCATCTGAGCTTTCCTATCATCATGAGACCACCCGGTCGGGTTCTCAACCTTGATCCTAAACGCAATCAAAGCATCCATTTGCTTCGTCAAGGAATCGGCTTCCTTCAACACCTCTTCCACTTTGCACTTGTAGAACTTGTTCACCTTATTGAACTCATCATCCAGCCGCCGAAAGTACACCAGCTCGTACTCTCCTCCTTCGTCGGAGGCCATCAAGAACGTCGTCTGGTAACTCTGAGGCCCTCCTCCTTCTCCCCCTCCCACCTGATTATTCACAGCATTCACCAGAATGATCTGGCTCTCGATGTCTTCGTCGTC